CAGGAAACAGAAACTCCGCGCAGAACAGGAGTTTCTGTTTTCTGTAACCGGCCGGACTGACAGGAAGTACACACTGAGTGTGCACCTTCCTATCACTCCGGCCGGCCGGCCACCGCGGACCGGAGTGCAGCTCGGCCACGCTACAGGGGAGAAGCTGCAGCCGCCTGACCGCTCTTCACAGAGCGCTCAGGCGGCTGCAGTATTTAAAGGGCCAGCCCCAGGTGCCGACGGCCCACCGGGAAATTTCCCGGTATCCCGGTGGGCCAGTCCGGCCCTGGCTGCTCCTATGTAGGCGCTGCGGTCGATTGCATTTTTTGTGGGTGGAAGTGACGTATCATGAAGGATTGCAGCGCCACTTCCACCCATAATATGATGGTGAATGTAGGAGACCAGCGGGCTGGTAAGTGACGTGTTAAGAGTAGTTTGCACGTCATAAACAGCTGCCGATACACACATGTGTAGTGAATAAACGAGTAAGCCTTTCTTTTGGGTGGAAAAACCCCACATGACCGGAAGAAGGATCCTGGGTCCACCATATAAAAAACAACCCATGTGTCCTCAAGCAATAGCCGACTGAGGAAGCTTATTTTTAAGTGAAACACATTTTGGCAGTAGGATCTGCATTTATTGGACTAATCTCAACATTTGCTTTTATATTTATTTGTTTTTATACATATTTTTATTACTAATAAACCATTGTTGAGTTTATCCAGTGTCCAGACATGAGATTGTGACTTCGACTCATCAGTAGGGGTAGTGTCACCCCATAACTTGACACTTCACTTTTCCACCTCAGAGCCAGGCTTCTGAGGTTCTGAATAAGGTGAGCTTAACATCTTTATATACATGCCAAGTCATTACTATTGATAACTCTCTGCACTACTGTATACTTTCTATTCCTTTTTGTCTGGAGAATATTCATCTTATATCTACTAGAGTGATGCTGCCCTAAGAGCATAAAGGCTCCTTCTCCTGAGCCAGTTACTATACAGGCTCAAGTCCATGTGAGTTGATATATACCACAAAATATTGAATTACTAGCACTTTATACTATCGGCACCATATTCTTCATGTGTTTTTATTATTACATATTTTCATCTGACGCTACACTTCCCCCTACATACCTTGAGGGGTAAGCATTATTATCTATGCATGGTCCACTTTCCATGTAGTGCTCCACTCTAATATAGATCTACCGTAGTATCTGTATATTTCCTAATTTTCACGATTTTAGGTGTGGGGAGGAGGCATTCCCACACGAGTGTTGTTAGAGCTGGTTATCTTTATTTTAAGCGCTATATACACACTAATCTTGTTTGAAAATACTGACCTGCCCAGTGTCTAACTCTCAAATATAATAAGAATATCTTTGGAAACATCATACAATTAGCTATTCAGAACTGAGTTCCACTACAGTTGAACTTGGCACTTTGTGGGACACATATTAGGCTCCTATTAAAGGGATATGTGGTTATCCTTCAATACAATTGTATATTGTACATACATATATACATACATATATATATATATTTGCCGCTAAAACCGTATTAGTTTACCAAAGGCAGATATATATATATATATATATGTGTGTGTGTGTGTGTGTGTATATATATATATATATATATATATATATATATATATATATAGTGTTTTTTTCCACAACTTATGATTTTAGGATTATCTATCTATCATCTCATTATATGACATTTTAAAATAAGCATATATGAAGTATAGAATGAATAATGATAATGTGATTCTATGACAATCTACCAAACTTTTGCAGATTATGCATTACCAATTTCATGCTAGAATGAGTTTAAGACCATTCAAGAACTACTTAATGATTTATTAATAATTAGTGAATACATACATAGTGATTCGTGTCATGACAGTTATTCAATTGCTATTGGGTTATTTAGAGTTCACTAGCAGATTAAAATGATATCTCTATAATCATTCTTGATTATATCGAAATGTCATGTCAAAAGCATTATACCATATATATTTATCAATTTATCTACAGTACCAAATCCATTATCTTTAATACAGAATTTTCTCTGTGGGCAAATATTCTACCAGATAAGAATGGAGTGTAAATAGAATATTATTTTATATATATATATAATAAGAAAATAAATTCCTGTCTGTATTCAGCGTTGTCTAAAGACCAGTGACTTGCCAAGAATAAAATGGGATTGTAGACAAATATAAAAAATAGATAACAGCGCCTTAGAACACTGTAATGCACAAAAGTGAAGTCAAATATAAATCATGTGTACGTACTTTTGTTAAGTCTATGAAGTCTTTGGCTGTTATACAGTGCATGGTATCTCAAAGAAAAAGGAAAAAGATAGACAATAATAGTGCAGTATGTCTTTAACACAGTGAAGTAGAGTGCTATAGCAAAAACTCACTCACAATTTATAGAGCTACAAAGAGCTCTGCTGTGTAGGTTATAGACGGTACAATTTCCATCACTGTATATATTTTATAGTTTTTGCTATAGCACTCTACTTCACTGTTGGGAATTAATGGGATCCACTTAAGTACTTTTTTATCTTTACTTTTGTCACTTGTTTGGTGGGGCGCTTGTTGTTTTACTTAACATTGATTTTTCTTTGTTGGTTGAATATCTATTCACTTGCAATCATGGCCATGTGATTGGCATTCTGATCACTTTTTTAGATCATAATATCCTTCTGACGTTACCTTTCCAACATTTGGATCTCTTGTGGTCTTTTTATTTAGTTGTATATATAAATGCACCTGGATCCAGCACAGTCGTGTGAGTGCACCTTCGATGATATTTGTATTTTAGGTTTTTCTATTTTAAAGGAAGCTTGATGTTGACATTTTGGTCTCGATAGTTTTATGATGTGATGATGTCATCAAACATGTTTTGTATTATTTACCTTTTTCTTTATTATTGTATAGATCCACTCAGATAAATAAAGCACTTATGGGTATCCTCTTTAGTTTTTGCTTTGATGAATGTAATTCATTGAGCACTTAACATTATTAGGTCATCTTTATGTGACTTGATCTAGTTTGCACATGGTTTTATGTTTGTACATCAGTAATTAACATTTGCACACTGCACTGCTAATTGTTAGTATTTTTCTAATCTGTTGACACAATAAATATTTGTATTGTTTGCTTTGTTATTAGCTTGATCAAGGCTGTATCTCATTCAAATTACCTGCCCTGGACTTCATACATGTTGTGTTAATGCTTACCATTAGAGTTGAGCGAACCTGGACTGTAAACTTCGGGTTCGTACCGAACATTACCTTTTTTGGACCCCGTACCCAAACACGGACATATCACTGTATGTTCGGGTTGGAGTCTGGTGTTCTGCGATTTAATGGTGCGTTTTTAAAGACTGCAGGGCAGCAAATCAACAAGCGTTTGACTCGTGTGCCCTTAGAAGCCATCACAGCCATGCCTACTAATGGCATGGCTGTGATTGGCCAGTGCAGCATGTGACCCAGCCTCTATATATAAGCTGGAGTCGCGTAGCGCCGCACGCACATGAGCTCTTATTAGTGTAGGGAGAGGATGCTGCCGCTGTGAGGGACAGCTTAGGAAAGAATTCTGCAAACTAGTACATTAGTGGGGTGCACCTCATATCTGAGAGTCAAATAGAAGCGTCAAATACCGCGGTTACATCGGAGTTTTAAAAAGTAAATTTTTTGGGTGCTAAATAGTACATTAGTGAGGTGCTCTTCACTAGTGATGTCGCGAACCGTTCGCGATCTTGCCGCGAACGGTTCGCCACGGTTCGCCACGAACCGTTCGCGGCGAGCTCCGGTCAGCTGACACATCCCTGCTAATCTCCGGCAGACCCTCCCTCCCAGACCCTCCTACTTCCTGGACACAAGGTGGAACTCCACCTTGCACATGCTGGAGAGACTGTTTGAGCAGCAGCAGGCGATAGTGGAGTTTCAGCTGCAGCACGCACGGGTCAGTGGCTCTGCACCAGACTTCCCTCCAATTGATCAGAGTTAAAGGATTTCAAGTGGACTCATTACAATTACAGGGCCACTAAAGAGTCCTGTATTGTTATTCGTCGTCACTACCTTCCCTCGTCGGGAGCGGGTCATTTGCGCGCTTGCTGCCTTCCTTGCATGTGGTAGCCATTTGTCAGGGTCCCTGTATGGAATGGAACCCTGATTCCCAGTTACCCATGATCACCATGGTAGGCGCAGTCAATGGCATCGGAAGTTGATATGGATCGACATACGAATACGTCGTCGCCTTCTCGTTGGGGAGCACATTGAAAAAGTGATCTAGCATGACGAGCTGGGTGATCTCCTCCGGAAACTTGGCTTGATGGGAGTTGAGCCAGTTCTGGGTGGCCCTTGTAATGCCAGGGTCTATACCCAGATATATCAGAGCTGCTGCAGAAAGTGGCGCTTTTGGCATTCTCACCCTGCTGCTGCTTGCCTGTCTGCGCTGCAGCGTAACTTCGGCCTTCCCGCTCACGTCTCATGTGAGCAGCAGCAGGTGACAGTGGAGTTTCAGCTGCAGCACGCATGGGTCAGTCGCTCTGTAGAGCAGTTTTCTTTTTTTGTACGTCCCAATATTTTGGGGGCTACCCCAATTTAAAATAAATAAATAATATATATAAAAAAAAATATATATATATATATATATATATATATATATATATACACACACACACACACACACACACACAGTGTTGGCTACCTCCTCCTCCACTGCCGCTTCCACCTACACTGCCACAGTCACCGCCTCCTCAACCTATGGGTCACTTAGTATAAACTATGTACACAATAGCAGAGGCTTGTGAAGGCCTTGTCTCCATGCATCAGGAGTTAAGCATTTCTCCATGCATCAGGACTGCAAGAAATGCACCACAGGCCGCAAATGTTTCTTTTTTTGTATGTCCCAATATTTTGGGGGCTACCCCAATTAAAATAATATATATATATATATATATATATATATATATATATATATAAACAGTGTTGGTTACCTCCTCCTCTACCACCGCTTCCAGCTTCCACCTACACTGCCATGGTCATCGCCTCCTCAACCTTTGAGTCACTTAGTATAAACTATGTACACAATAGCACAGAGGCTTGTGAATGGCTTTTCTCCATGCATCAGGAGTTGAGCTCAGTTTGAACAACGAAAGAGAATACCCTGCACTCCAACCCTCTCTCAAATGGATAATTCTGTTGATCCTCCTGACAGCCATGCTTTAAATTTTGATTTGTGTTCTTCCAAAGTTAAAATCAAATATTCCATCTAGTGCTATTTTATGGCTCAGCTGTATTTTTAATTTTTGTGTTATTTTAAGTGGTTTCCCTATCCACATTTGTTTGCAGGACACTTGTCCTACTCTTACCCCCATTTTACTTCCTTTTGCAGCCCTCTAGCCCTTTCCAGGACTTTTTAGAGGCATTTTTGTGGCCAAAAGTTCGGTTCCCCATTGGCTTCAATGAGGTTCTGGGTCAAGTTCGATCACGAACCCGGACTTTTTTTCAAAGCTCGCCCGAACCCGCCGGACCCGAACATCCAGGTGTCCGCTCAACTATTCTTACCATATATCATAACACTCATATACAGTATTTCTAGAAATGTGATTGCTGCAACAAAATATTATAGGGGAGCTTTATCAAGGGAAAGCAAGTGTTTATTCTAAGGTAAAGTGCTAAATAATGAGTAATCACCATGGTAAAAAAAAATAGAATGCTTGTCAACATGTGTTACTTTGATATACCACCCCCATATGTGCAAAGCTGATCATCTAACACTTTTTGTTTGTAGGGGGGGGGGGGAGGGGCACAGCTACAAGAGACACCCTATAGGAAAGCCACATTTACACATATTATGCAAATCCCTGTGGCCTATCAAAAATCCTCTTTTAAATTCACTTGAAAAATACTTTTAATTAACTTTAGTACTTAGACAATCAGAAGAATGCATTCATTTATTTAACTCCCTTCTTACTGTATTTGTCTCTTATTTACCATCTCATCCTCATTTTTCCTTGCACTGCAGGACCCTGCTCTGCCCCTCTCCCTCCCACCCCCCATCCCAAGTTGCTGAAGGGGTTAAAACCCCTTCAGTGACTTACCGGAGTCCAGCGCCAATGTCCCTCGGCGCTAGAGCAGGCTCCGCCTACTCTCCTCCCCCGCCGACGTCAGCCGGCTGAGGAGACCTAATGCGCATGCGCGACAATGGCCGCACATGCACATTAAACCTCCCCATAGAAAGGCATTATTAAAAGCTTTCCTATGGGGATTTTGGCAACAATTGATGTCCTCACATAACGTGAGGACGTCCAGCGTCGCTTAACCCCTTAAAACCGGAGGACGTACAATTACGCCCTCTAATAGGCGGCTCTAAACGCCGCCGGGCGTAATTGTACGCCCTCCGGTTTTTGTTAACTTACCCGGTCGCCGGCGGTCCCACGCCGGCGATCAGGCGGGGGACTCCCAGGGAGCCCCCCGCGGCACGATCCGTCCTCGTCGAAGCCCCCCGGCCATGTGAGAGTGGGGTCCTAGCGAGGACCCCACAATCACATGGCCGGGGATAGCTGGCTTCTGTATTGCCAGCAGGGGGGCTGCCTGTAATGACAGGTGGTCCCCCTGCTGGCTGAAAATAAAATTAAAAAAAGTTAATCAGTGTAAAAAATAAATAATATATACTTAGATCATATGTATATGTTATATACATATGATCTAAGTATATATATACACATATACATACACACACATACACCGTCTAGGTGTATTTTACTATTAATATATATATAATTATATATATATATTAATATCAAATTACACGTAGACTGATACTGATTAAATATATATATAATTATTGTTATATATATATTTATATATAATATAAAAAAAATAAAAATATAAATACGTTAAAAAATAAAATTAAAAAAATAATTAAAAATAAATAATTAAAAATATATAGATGTGTGTTATTTCGTTCTAACTGTATTGTGAAATTAATATATATATATATATATATATATATATATATATCAAAATACACGTAGAACGAAATAATATATATATATACCTTATATACATAAATATACACGATATATCATCATATATATACTCTATATATAAATAAAAAAAATATTTAAAAAAATATATAGATATATGTACATATATATATACACATACGTATATATATACATATATTAATTCTACATATATATTTATGTAATATTTTTACATAATTAGGTATCTTAATTAATTACAATTAGCAGGACCTGCCTGACAACCCATGCCGAAAGTAAAGGGAATTTAATTTGCTAGCACTATATTTAACCCTATAACTTTCCGAGACACCATAAAACCTGTACATGGGGGGTACTGTTCTACTCGGGAGACTTCGCTGAACACAAATATTAGTGTTTCAAAACAGTAAAATGTATTACAACGATGATATCGCCAGTAAAAGTGAAGTTTTTTGCATTTTTCACGCACAAACAGCATTACACGGACAATATTATTGCTGTGATACTTTTTACTGTTTTGAAACACAAATATTTGTGTTCAGCGAAGTCTCCCGAGTACAACAGTACCCCTCATGTACAGGTTTTATGGTGTTTTCAAAAGTTACAGCGTCAAATATAAGGCTTGCATTTCAGTTTTTTCACATTAAAATTCGCCAGATTGGTTATGTTGCCTTCGAGACCCTATGGTAGCCCAAGAATGAAAATTACCCCTATGATGGCATACCATTTGCAATAGTAGACAACCCAAGGTATTGCAAACAGGGTATGTCCAGTCTTTTTTAGTAGCCACTTAGTCACAAACACTGGCCAAAATTGGCATTTTTTGCATTTTTCACACAAACAGATACTAACGCTAACTTTGGCCAGTGTTTGTGACCAAATGGCTACTAAAAAAGACTGGACATACCCCATTTGCAATACCTTGGGTTGTCTACTATTGCAAATGGTATGCCATTATGGGTGTAAATTTCATTCCCGGGCTACTATACAGTCTCAAAGGCAACGTAACCAATCTGGCGAATTTCAATTTCAAATGTAACGTGCTATATTTGACCCTGTAACTTCCCAAAACGCCATAAAACCTGTACATAGGGGGTACTGTCTTACACGTGAGACTTTACTGAATATAAATATGTGTATTTTATTGCAGTAAAAGCAAACAGTATTATGACATTGACCGTTAAAATGTCATGTAGAACTAAAAAAATCAAAAAAAAACGTATTTTCTCCCATTTTTTTCATATTAAATTATGTTTCATAGCTAAATATTTGATATTAAATGAAAGCCCTGTTTCCCCTGAATAAAATGATATATAATAAGGGTGGGTGCATTTACTATGAAAGAGGTGTATTACGGTTGGACAGACATGTAGCGCAAATGCCAGGTTTTGTTTACATTTTGTTTTGTTCACAATGTGTACATTTGGCTCCGTCCTTAAGGGGTTAAAAACACTTTTCGTGTTCTAAGAACACGGAAGTCCCTCTAGTATCTGTCTGATAGATGGCCACTAGAGGAAGACTTAACCCTGCAAGGTAATTATTGCATTTTATAAAAACTGCAATAATTACGCTTGCAGGGTTAAGGGTGGTGGGAGTTGGCACCCAGTCCACTCCAATGGCCAGACGTGGTCTGGGTGCCTGGAGTATCCCTTTAATGTCTCTTTTTCTGTCTCCTCATCCTTAAATGTGTTCCACTCCCTCATCCCACTCCCTCATGTTTCCACTCCCTCATCCCCATGTCTCTTTTCCATCTCCTTATACTTAAACCATCTCTAAAACTTAAAGGACCACTCTAGGCACCCAGACCACTTCAGCTTAATGAAGTGGTCTGGGTGCCTGGTCCAGCTAGGGTTAACCCATTTTTTCATAAACATAGCAGTTTCAGAGAAACTGCTATGTTTATGAATGGGTTAAGCCTTTCCCTATTTCTAGTGGCTGTCTCATTGACAGCCACTAGAGGCGCTTGCGTGCTTCTCACTGTGATTTTCACAGTGAGAGCACGCCAGCGTTCATAGGAAAGCATTATGGATGCTTTCCTATGTGACCGGCTGAATGCGCGCGCAGCTCTTGCCGCGCGTGCGCTTTCAGCCGCATGGGAGGAGAAGAGCTCCCCGCCCAGCGCTGGAAAAAAACGAGTATGTTTTCCTGGCACTATAGTGGTCCTTTAAACCATCTCTCTTAATATACTGCAAACCTGCAGATTCACAGGTTCTCTGCCCCTGTGTCTCTCAAATTTTCCCTCTGCCCCTCTTCGCATCTGCCCAAATAAGGGTTAATCAGCTACCCAATTTGCTA